CTTCTCTGTCTCCCACTCCCACTGCCCCTGCTTGTGTTCCCTCTCTCACTGTGTCTCTCTCTGTCAAATAAATAAATAAAATCTTAAAAAAAAAAACCATGCTGGTGGGACCCCCCTTCCTCCAGTCACCCCCTCCCCACTTGCCCTTCACAGCCAACTTCCTGAAGGAGAGGCCCTGCCCTCGCTGCTCCCAGCCGCCCGACACCTGGCCGCTCTTCACGGCTCTAATGTGGCCCTAACGTGGCTTCTCCGGGAGACAAACAGCTCCCGCTAAGGCCAGCAAAGCCCTCTGTGTTCCTGTGTCCGTCGCCCTCTCCAGACTCAAAGCTCAGAAAGGATGGAGACTGCATTGTTGGGTAACCCCACCATATTTTAGAGCCTAGCAGGGCGCCAGGCACATAGTAGGTGCTCAGGAAGCATTTGCGGAATGAAAGCAGGAGTGAACGAACTCCAAGGTTTCCCTCCGCAACCTGAGTTGCGGTCCCTGCTTGGTCGCTGCGGGACGTCTGGAGCCCTTTACTCACCGGTGCCCAGGTAGAGGACCAGATGGCTCTGCCCATCGACGCCCTGGGCTGTCTCCACCGCAAGCCTCGTGTACTCCACACCAGACTTCACCAGCAGGGGTGTCCCCACCACCTGCTCATCCATCAGGAAATGGTCCTTCATGAAGGTCAAGGCTTTGTCAGAGGAGGGGCCCACGGAGCACTAAAGGGGGAAGGAGGCGCATCGGATCAGCGCTCCCTCCTGCAAGCTCACCGTTGCCCCCCCCCGCCCCCGCTGGGCCTCCCTCAAGGCAGTCCTCCTCTCAGGAGGCGATGGACGCTCTGGGGCTGCCTGGCTTGGCATTCCATGCTCTGCACACAGTGCCGCGTATCACCGGCTTGCTGTGCAGAGGAAACGCACGGATATGTGGAAAGTGACATGAAGTAAGAACTCAACAAATGTTAGCTGTTGTCCTTCTCCCGTCCTTGACTCCTTCCCCATGGGTGCCTGGCAGCCGGCGGGAAGTAGCATGAGGGATGATGCACTCATGTCAGCAGCCCCAGGCTTGCACTGCATGAGTCCGGGTGCCCAATAAATGGTTGCCGAGCCAGTCACTGAATGACATCACAGAAAGGGATGGTGTCGCATGAACCTGCTCCACAAGTCTGGTGGAGCCCCTTCTCCATTCGGGGCCTCCTTTTCCTCACCCATAAAATGGGGAGGGGGCGGTGGACAGGGGGTGGGCTGGCTGTTCTCTGAAGGCCCTGCCCACACCAGCGTGCCGAGCGCTGTGTCCTGATCTCAGTCGGGATCCTTGTCCTCCACACCCCAGGGCGCTCTCTCAGGGCCAGCCCCACTCCGTCACCTGCCACTGTGTCCTCAGACAAGTTACTCCCCTCTGTGAGCTTCCATTTCCTTATCTGCAATGTGAGGTAATAACATCTGTATTTCATTCTGATGCCAGAATGAGCACATGCACCTACTCTCACTTCCTCCCCCCCCGAAAAGGGGGGGACAAGGGGGAAGCAAAGACAGCCACAGGGTGAAAGCTGAAAAGCAAATGAACAAATATGGTAAAAGACTGAGCAGGAAAAAAAAAAGAAAAGAATCTTCTTAAGCCAGCCCCTGGGTAGCCAAAATGATCTGATTTACAAGGCAGAATTCCTAAAGGTCCTGAATGAGCTGCGGGCCAGCTCTGGAAGTGGGAAGGGCGGGGCTGCGTCAGGAGAGCCTCTGAAAGTCTGTGCACCTGGCAGGCTGGGCTCCCGCACCCCTGCGCGGCCCTGCGGGCCTCGGCCCAGGACTGGAGGCTCCTTCTCCAGAGACGGGAAAGCAGAGGGTCTCTGGGTGAGGGCAGCAGGCAGGGGTGAAGGCGGAGAGGCGCAGTGCATTTGGGGACGCGTCCCCCCGGCCCCCTGGTGCCAGCAGCCAGGCCGTCTCCCTCCAAGCACAAGGCTGGAAGAGGCCTCCAGAAAACCGAGTGCAGGTCATAGGTAAGCCCTGACAATGTTGATACCAGTGGTCCCCAAGAAAACCGCCCAGCCAGGCCATCTTCCGTGAGCAACAAGGGGCCCACCCTGACGAGTCACATCCAGGGGCGAAGCTTCCAGAGAGCTTCACGGTCCCCACTCCTATGCGAGCAGAGAGCCCAGGGCCACCAGGCGTGTGAGTTAAAACATGAACACGAAAGAGACCAAAGCAAATCAATGGAAAAAACAAACAAAAAGCTAAATAATGCAGAGAAAAGAGACCCTCACAGTGAAGTATTACAGCTGTCTTACGAGAGCTGAGCGAAGACCATGTGCCCGTGAAACCAGACCATAATGCTACAGAAGAGGAGCCCCACGGCAGAGAGGGAGCTGGACGCCACATATGACCTGGAAGAAGACCCACAACCACGGTGAAGGGGTCTTTCCCCCCAGTCAAACTCTGATCTGACCAAGTCTCTAGGCCCAACCTCCAACGAAGGTGTAGGAAATGCTGCACCTCCACCACAGAGACCCATAGTCACCAAGATCTGGACTGAGAAAAATTCTATAGGACAAATAAATGGCAAGAAAAAAAAGGGAACATACAGATTAAAAGAAACTTAAAAGAACAATGATCTAAAGGGTGCCCGGCTGGCTCAGTCAGAAGAGTGTGCTGCTCTTGATCTTGGGCAGTGAGTTCAAGCCCCACATTGGTTATAGAGATTACTTAAATAAATAGACTAAAAAAAAAAAATAGCTAATCCAAACTTATATATCTTACTTAGATTTTGATTCAAATAAACGGGATTTGGGGGCAGCTGGGTGGCTTAGTTGGTTAAGCATCTGCCTTCAGCTCAGGTCATGATCCCGGGCCCTCAGATTGAGCCCCACATCGGGCTCCCTGCTCAGCGGGGAGCCTTATTCTCCCTCTCCTCCCCGCTCATGCTCTCTCTCGCCATCCCTGTCTCTCTCTCTCAAATAAATAAAATCTTTAAAAAAAAACCCTGTATTTTAAACAACTTTTATGACATCTTTGAGACTACTGGAAATTTGAATACTAAATGCATATTAGATTAAAGAATTATTCATTTTTACAGTGTGAAGTGGTACTACGGCTCTTTTTTTAAGCCCTTATCATTTGGAGATACTAAAATAGTTATGGACGATGTAGTGGGTTGATTGGTGCCCCCCCATTCATCCATCTGAAACCCATGAATGTGACTTTATTTGCAAAAAGGGTCTTTGTAGGTATAATTAAAAGTCTTGAGACGAGCTCATTCTGAATTACGATGGGCTCCAAATCTAGTGACAAGTGTCCTCACGAGAAGTGAAGGACACGTACAGAGGAGAAGGGAAAGTGATGATGGAGGCAGCGACTGCAGTGTTTGGGGTGTCTACGGGCCAAGAACAGCCAAGGATTGCCAGCCGCCACCGGAAGCTGGGGGAGAAGCAGAGACGTTCTCCCCCAGAGCCTCCGCCCTGCTGGTGCGCTGACTTCCACCGCCTGGCCTCCAGCCCGCAGGAGGATACATTTCTGTTGTTTGAAGCCAGGAGGTTGTGGTAATTTGTTACAGCAGCTTACAACACTAATACAGATAAAGTGCCGTGTCCGGAATCTGCTTCAAAATACCCCGGGGCGGGGGGAGGGCGGTAGGCGGAGCACGGCTGAGACAAGTTTGCTTGGCTATGTGTGGGTGTACGGAGGTCCCTTGTACTATTCTGTCTACTTTGTATACATGTGTGACATTCTCTATTATAGAACATTTTTTCTTTCCTTTTTTTTTTTTTAAGATTTTATTTATTTATTTGACAGAGAGACACAGCGAGAGAGAGAACACAAGCAGGGGGAGTGGGAGAGGTGAGAAGCAGGCTTCCCGCGGAGCAGGGAGCCCGAGGCGGGGCTCGATCCCAGGACCCTGGGATCATGACCTGAGCCGAAGGCAGATGCTTAATGA